GACATGAGCGCAAAATCCTGGCTTGATTGGCCACCAATGCTGCCTTCTCCGGCGGGACTTCAAACTGGCAATGGGCCATGTTTACAATCACCCCCAAATGTTTCTTGCGCCAAACTAGGGTCCATTGACATTTGCGCTCCTTGAATTGAATGCCCAGTGATGCAAACACACCCCGCACCAAACCGGGCCATCGCGTCAAACGGGCGGCATCATGCATAGCCGCCAAAAAATCACCAAAATATGCCAGCAAAATGGCTGGCGGTTCGGTAGTGTACACCCAAAAGTAATTAACTATTGCATCATCCCCTGCTAATCGCCCAAAATAGAAATGGTGGGCTGCTTTGTTGCAGCTGCCCGGGGACCTCAAGAAACGGCCCACTATAAGCATGAATTGGGTGAAGAAGAAGGGGGCTAGAGAGAGACCGAACGGAAGAGCCCAACAAGCAAAAACTTTATCGCCCATTCAAAATTGGAGGAAACATTTCTCCATTTTATGCACTCGCAGGTGATGATAGGCATCTTCGATGTCGAATCTCACCAATGAGTCATTCCGGTTGAGTAAGTGACCGAAGTCACATAGTTTCTCATACCGAAGGCCCACCTTGCGAAAGTGGCGGTTGACCCGCTGCAAGTCCACGCACAGACGGTATTTCATGACACCATCCTCCCGCCCCTTCTCCACTAGGAAGGCATGGGAGATCCGTGAGGTCGGGCCCAACGCCACCTTGACGATCGCCCCCGAAGTGAGGTACTCCTCGCAGATGGATTGCCAGGCTGCCCACTCTTCCAGAGATCAAAGCGGGTAGGAGCCCTCATCGAAGGGAGCCGGGGGTCCACGCGGTCCCCAAAGAAGGGGGTTCCTGGAATGGATCCATTGGAGGACTCACGATGGGGCACCGATCTGTCGCCAAGTGGAAAGGCGGCCGCGGACTTGGTTGTATGGAAAGTCCTTTATGGGGATGGCTTGGGGGATGCGGCCGGTGCTCGAGCACCCTTGTGGGACTTGGGGCTGGCCGGTGGGGCCGAGGTCGATGGGGAGGAGGCGGTCTCCTTGGTGGCCGCAGTCTTGGTCGCGTGCTTCAATTCTTGAGTAAGGAACTCCTTCCGCATACGCTCGATGGTCCCGTCGACGCGCGCCGTTCTGAAGCGCAGACCCCGATTGGCGAGGCGGATCTCCGCCTGAATGGTGCACCATAAGCCTTCCAATCCAGAGCCCTTGTGCTTTGCATGGATGCGCTGCAAGGAGAGCTGGTCGTGGAGGGCCTCGGTGACCTCCACGTACGAGTACAGGTAGGGGAGAAGGAATTCTTGTACAGAGGCCGGGAGATCGGGATGGGCGGCCACGTCCACGAAGGCTGCAGTCATGTCGAACAACCAGGATACCAGCGGCGCCCAGCCCGTGTACTCTTGGAAATACCCGGAGTTCGTGCCCAAGGCGTTGGCGACCGCGCTCCCTTTGGCGGTGTCGTGGACGTTGAACCAGTATGGGGAGTGGGCGCCCACTGGTCGGGCTACCGGGTTGTTGACTGACTGGGGGAGGAGCACCGGGTCGGGCAACCAGCAGGCTTCGATAGCGGAGCTCGGAATACGGTTGTTGAACCGGTGAGCTTGGTCCCGGCACCACTCCTCTGCAGGGGACAGGTTCATAGGCAAGAACTCGGCGAAGAGCCGGAGGTCGCGACCCACTCAGTGGGTCCGGGTTGTGCCAAAGGGTTGGCACGAAGCGAAACAAGATAAGGTGGGGATTGAGTGGTAAGCCTAAATAGCCTCCCCGCTCATGCCCGCCAAAGCCCGTTACTCCCAAGGGCGCCAAGAACCACTGGCCCTCCTTGAACGCGACGAAATGGCCACTGACCCAAGGTACAGGGGGACAAAAACCTCAAGGGGCCGCCAAAACCAACATACTTAAGCAACGCTGGTCCGATTGGGGCCAACGCACCCACCCCTCGTCCCCCTGGGCGGAAACCTATTAACAAGATAGTTAATCCTATTTCCACATCATCTGTGGCTCAAGGCGAATGCAAGTGGGATGCCCACCCCAAAATCCCTTGGTGCCATGCTCACCATCTTCTCAAGGCTTTGATGCACTCCTGTGCCTTGTGCCACAAATGCCATTGCTGGGCTGGGTCCAACGCAGTGGCGCATGGCCCCCTAGCAGCCTCTGGCCAAAGGGCAAGCGTAGGCTAGAAGTAGCATGAGCAAAGGTAGGCCCTTCTGTGAGATTGCGAGAAAACTCTGTTAGTGTGTAAGGGGACCTTGGGTGTGTGAGTGGAGCACATTCCGCAAGTGAATAGGCATGGCGTTATGTCGCTGATTTGGAGCTGTTTGGAGTTGAGACATGCACGGCAAGTCTAACCAAACCAACCCCAAGCAACACGCTCAGAGTGCTGTTGTTCATACGACCATCTGTTAAAATACAAAGTCTGTTTGCCTTTCTGATGGCCTCAAGATCTACGGATGCTGTCAAGCACTAAAAGGCAGGATTCTAGCCACATCAAACACCAAGGCCAATGTACCAAACTCATTAAATTCAATCATATCAGCATCACCAGCCTGAGACATAAATAGTGTCTCAACTGCATCAAAATAAAGGCACCGCCAACAACAAGGCAGGGGCAGGCGGCAGGGGAAGGGGAGGATTAAGTCACTTTTAGTGATGTTGATGCTGTGGGATAATGAACGGGTGTGAGTGAATCACGATAAATTCATGATATCATGAATTTACTCAATGGTTCTGAGTGCGAACTGGTGTGTAAGAGAGAGGTTTGCACTCGACTACATAAACGAATGTTCAAATATATTCCTGTATCTCTTTTTGTAACTAGATTGTTGCAACTCCTTTGGGGCTGCTCCTGACTGTATTTGCCGGTGTATGTCCATATCGCACTGTAGACCATTGCAGTGAAATCAAGTCCGTTGGTGACATCTCAAACCAGGATGGCCAGGAAATTCTAATAGCACGTTTCTGCTGCTGGCCCTACTGCATGCGCAATGCAGACCATAGCCCAACGTCAGTGGATGTCAACCGCCATGGTGGCCAAGTTCAGATTCTCTCGGTCATCAACACATAATATACACTAACAATCCTTGCACGTTACAACAACATTGATGTCCGCCCTCATATTCTCAAGCTGAAGTTCCTGCTCAGTTGCTACAAACATCACAAATCCCCGGAGCCCAGGCGCCCAAGAAATTTCAACTTTGATACGATCCACTTGGTATCCAATTCTTGGCGCACATTTCCCGTCCGGTTTGCCGATCATCCACAAAGCATATTCCCAAAAACACATACAGGGAAAGAGTCTCCGGACAATTCCGCTACGTGCTCTTCTAAATGGCGGGCATCAAGGAAATTCAGTCCACGTTTGTTCCCCTGTGGCATCGTGCTTTCTGGTTATTATGCAAGATCAGCGGCAGGCCTACAGGGGCTGCCACAAATATTCCCTCAGAGATACTTCCGGTTAACTAATGGATCCATGAATCTAATCGCGGACCTTCCCCTGCACCCTCTGCAAAAGTCTACAGCTCACACCAGTGCCTGTCTTGCGATACTGGAAAACAAGCCCAAAACGACCCAAACATATTCCAACCGACGCCAAAAAATTCCCAAGTTGACCAAACTTACCCAATTTATCCAAACTAATAAAACGTTGTCTTCAATCCCCACGGTCGCCGTGAAGGGATTCAGAAATTCCCAGAGTTTCTACCATTAGTGAATCCCCAAACTCATCGTTTTGTCTTTAAAATTCATCCAATGCGCGCCCGGCCAACGTCGCCAGGAGTGGCCGCGCGTCAGTCACCTTAACGCCATGCAGCGCTATTATGCAGCGCGCTATTGGAGCCGTGACGATCGCCTTGATGGCTGGCGTCTCGTAGGCTTTCGCAAACTCTTGCTAACAACTCTAGAATTCTACCTCCACTGCGTTCCCAAGTTTTTGTTCCGCTCCTCCAGCTGGTCCCGACCTTCGCTCCGAAACTGACATCACTAACAGTCAGTGCTTGCAGAGTTTTCTAATTTTTACATTTTACAGCTTCTGCGCAATATCAAACAGCCCCTCGAAGGCAATTCAACTGGTGCGACAGCTTCCATATGCGCATGGAAGTCCGCATAGTGTTTAGAATCCCAACGGTTGTAGGCGGACATTATTCCTACGCCAGTGGAAAACAAACAAACTGTGAAATCGTGTTGCAAGGGCGCTTGTGCAAAACCGCAAAATACATTCTGGGATACATTCCTCTTTCACGGCCGTGTCTGTGATGAACATTCGTCGAAGCCAATCGAATCTACTTCGACACAGCACTGCACAAACATTTTTGCATCTGCCCTATCTCGCGAACTTGCGAAAACACTTCTTTCCGTGTATTGCCATGGACAAAAATAACTCGACATTAAAACTTGATGGTTTCTGGGCTTTTTCTGTGTTATGCATCAGATTTCAATATCGAAATCAATTACACCGCTCGTGCAGAATAGGAAGCTGACGGCTAACTCGCTCCTTTATTACTCCTTTGTGGAAATGTCATGATGAGGCAGCATGTTGATGAAGTCTCAGAGCCACTGGTGGGATGCAAGTGGATTTCCATCGTGCTCAAAGCTCACATAAGGCATCCTTCACCGCTCCAAATTTCAAGCAGTTATCTGACACGCGAATGTGTAGTGCACCAGCTCACTGGAGTCAAGAGTCAGTCAGGACAGCAGGGATGGACACGGCGCTTTGTTCTCACAAAACTGCGGTTTCGAGAGGGTATCCTGGACTTTGATAGAACCGAAGCCTAATTACAGTCAGCTCGGCAACTGAAATGGATACAATACACAGGCGGATTTCCCGTTGTTGGCTGTCTCCCTCCATATTAAGAAGGTGATCATTTGCTGAAACTCTCGAAGTACGGTTTACATGTATGCTGCACATGTACGAGGCACAGTCGTGTAATATTAACCGCATTCTTGGTGCAACCGACGAACATCCAACACATCCACCTGAAGGTCGCTGATCATTCTGTCAAGCTCCGCTCTGCAGAAAGGCCCAGACGGACGCCGCTTGTGGGACCTTGTTCTTTGGCGGAGGCCGGTACAGAAACTCCACACCCTCTACAACTTGTACTGGGTACACAGATCGCCCTGCGCCATGATAACCACGACCATGGCATGAACACCAGCAACAGTGACAAGCAACACGAACGTGAGTTCACTGCCGCCGGGTCTTTATGATATATGACCATGTAGACCTACATGTCATGGCATGTAGATCCACATGCAGACCTACGAGCCTGCAGGACTCGATGACAGGTTTTGCTCACAACAGTAGTACCAATTAAGTAGCTTTTACCTCCTTATTCTTGTCAGGTAAACGCGTATCATAATATGTAAGGGGAGGACATGTAAAGGGGGCACCAATAACGCGAACAATGATGCTCACCAGGGCGTTTACTTGCTGACAACAGTGCATTAGACAATAGGGTCCTCAAACACAATGGATACTGTCATGTGCATATAGATACCAATGACGCCAGGCTTCGCCCATGTTGTGTGCAAGATTTTTGCGTTCGTTTGCTCCGACTACATTGCCTTGAGGACGAAGACAAGAAGTTCCCCAATTCAGTTTGCACAGTGCGATACTGAAATGCACCACATATAGACAGAATGTAAAAGAAGCTGCAGCACCATCTATGTTAGGGAACGGAAAAGTGGATAAAGACTGACGAGGGTGACCATGGCGCCAACGACGCCGCCAACAACACTCGCATCACCACTAACATCACATAATCTTTACAAGCGTATGGAATGGTGGATTCAAGACAATACCAAGACGGATATTGTTATAATATCTCAATATTCCTAATGTATCTCATATTTCTACATTATATACTGCTCAACATTTGCCCGTACGGTTCCAATCCGTTGATTGCAGCATCATGGATAAGGTGACACAGTCAGCTGCGACGGCAAAAATATCGAAATCGGCTTGCTATTTTCGGCGTAAACAAAGCGTGTATGTATGTATCTTTCCACAAAAACTTGTAAACTAAGTAAGCAGAGGTTGTGATTATGCTGTAAATAACAAGCCTGACCGAAGGCCACCACACTGACTTCTAAAATTGTGCGATTCTAAACATAGCTTTCCAATTTCGGATTTCAGCACTTGAAAACCACGCTCGCTCTGCTGAGCGTAACATTCGGTTTGAATGTACGCAGCAGCTCACAGCGTAACCAACCCTCCATTGACACCTAGAGGAGTCAAGGACGCCAACGCAATACTCATTTGGGCACTCAGCTTTTTATGAAGAGCGAGAAATTTCCAGTAACTATAGGAAGGCTGGGGTTTTGCCGTATTTCACTTCAACGAGTTCTAGACACCTGCACGACTTGTGTGTGGCTCTTGGCTATTAGGAGCGCTCCGCTGGCAACATTCCAGCATGGTAGTGCCGCTGCTCATGACTTGGGTATAATCATGCATTCAACTCGTTTACACACCATGCACGCCTGAAAATAATTCTGCGATGCCCAACGCCCACTTTGGAAATTGACAGTTCTTCTGAAGCACAGCAGGTATCGTCGCTTACGCTTGTTGAATGGCACCGTAAATGGGATCTTGGAATATCAGCTCGATAAACAATGAGCTCGCAGGCAGACAGGTTAAACCTGTTTCGGATTTTTACATCACCAACCCAAAATGTTGACTGTGACTGTTGCAAATATCCGCACAACATTTATGGTACGATTGTATAACAAATTGGAGCCCTGCTTGGCGTACAAATTTGTTCAACAAACGCAAGAAATTATGCATCAAGCCTTACCCAGCTGGCGCCCTTCAGTGAGTTCCTTGTACCGATGAACGGCCATGAGGATAATGCGCACAGCTTGCCAAGTGGCGGCAGGGAATCCCTGAGCAACCACAGTCGGTGATTTGAATGTCAAATGGTCACTTCTTTCGCAGGGAATGGCATTATTTCACAGAAGAGAAACACCGCAATGCAAAACAGAGCAGTTGTGTCACTGTCACAGAAGAAAGCCATTCCGTCGTTGCAAAACGATATCCAGGAAGAGTGGTACCCTCTCTGGCAGATGCGGTGGGCTGTAGTCAGTCACTACACGGGATAGGTTTATGTACCTTCGGAGCTGTTTGGAGATTCCGTGCACCCCTCAAGAGTCTAAAACTTCGCTGTAGATAGCCGATTATGTAAATTTGAAGTTATTGACGCACTGAATTGGGGCATATGGGGCAATTCATGCAGAAGCCACTTAAGTGTGGGGTCCTGGCAATGCGCGCACCGAGGACCCCACCTCAACCCTGTGCCGACACTTCCCACCGACTTCTGCCGATGTCTTCGGAAGCTGGAGCTTGTCTCGCGCACCCTTCTGGGGCCAATCTTTTTCAATGCAGTCGACGCAATGCGCGCAATCCTTGCAGATAGTTATTCATCTGCTGTGCTGCCATACGCCCCATCCATTGACTTTGCCGGACAAATTTCTTGCCCACAGAAGGCTCTAATGCAATCACCGATTCTTTGTACTGCCCAGTACAAGATAGTTCCTGCAGTGCGCCAATCGGCACTTGCTGGAATGTCTGCTATTGTGCACACTCATCATGATCACCTTATCGTTGTTTGCATGTTTGTGGTGTTCCCAGATCAGCAATATGAGCAGTATACCATCAAGCGATGATCAATGCGCTGCCAGTACCGTATGCATTTGACGAGTGCAACCATGGGCCGGTGAAACGGCGGCTCACGATACATTTGCCAACAACAAACTGAAACATCTGTAAGCGTTCATATTGCTTCAAATGTGTGTTGGATGCCGATGGAAACGATTTTTGTCCATCAGCAAATGCAACGGTAGTTAGCTGTTTGAATTGCAAACCCACAAAAGAAATGACCAAAATTTTGTCCTTTTTCCGTTTCACTAACGTCAAAAATGCTGCGGAGCAGGCTCAAATTGTGCAACTTATAGCGGTCTCTACACCTGCAAATCCAGATGGACCGCTATCAGGATTGCATCCATTCTTTCAGAAATTTCGAGGTGATCGTGTCAGTGCCCCGAGGATTACTGGGTGCCGATCCAGCAACACGCACAGGCAACATACTCACCTTAATTATGAACACACGCTCGTGTGTTATGTCGCACGTCCAGGAAGATATGGAGGCACCGGTGCGATTGGCGATGTCATTAATTGAGGTGCCGTTGCGCCCTTGCAAAGCCAGCCATACCAAGTTCTAATACTATCATTTGCGTATTTACACTGTGCAAGTGTCGAAGCATATCCAAAGCAGTATTATATCCGATACACGAAGTACAATATGATAGAAGCAGGAATACTGCAGCAATAAGAAATGCCGCATCGATTAAAAAAACAACACTTGTATTGAATCCAGGACTCAGCAATGCTGCACATCCGATGAATTGCTCCAATGAGCGACTCAAATAAGACGCCTTCCTGTTGAAAACGTTCATGCAAGCAGTACAATAAATATTGAGCATGTCATTGAAATCGACAGCGATCTCTTTCCCGTTGCGAGCGTGACTGCGATATATTTAGGCCAATAAAAATTTGAGAGTTCACAATACAGATTGTAATGTGGGCAGTCAGCAAAGTTATGTAAGGAATGGAACTGTAGGTTTCGTACAAGGCGCGAAGTCGAGAATTTTCGCACATCTTCTGGTGACACTTGCAGGAACAACTAAAGTTTTCATCTTCTCAAAATTCAGGAATTCTTGCTGATGATCAGTAAATTTTATGGCTCACCGATTATAAAGCCTGCGACCACCTGAGTCATGTGCACTTCGACATCCCTGTGCGTCAAAATCAGGTCAATATAGTGTATTTATCTGCACAACCGTCAATGAAATGCATGTGCGTGTGCAATGCATGTCATCTACGGTATAGCCAAACCATGGATGCAAAGGGCATTTTGTTGATTGCCATGAAGAATAGCCCTTATCCTGGGTATGGCCACCACAACCAGTATTTCAGTTTGGATCCAACAGTCGTTGATACAGATGCAAGTTCCAAAAAAACTTGGGTATTCTTACCCCAGCCTTTATTGGCGTCACTGTACGGCACGCTGATGTTAATGCACAACCCGCAGATATCACCCATGCCGCTGCAAGAGCAGGCATTGCGCTTGATGGACAAAACTTTGGCAAACTATTATGGCAAGACGCTCTGAAGCACAAGAGACACGGGGTTCAATGAGTGTGGCTGCAGGTGGGGCTGGAAATCATTGTCTACGTTTCTTACAGTCGGGCCCAATGGGGTGAGGCCAGCAGATGCATATACAGGCAGCGAAAGAATTAAGTTCCACGCCAGTGCGTGTTCTGAAGACGCGTATAATCTTCTGGGAATTCGGCTTTAGACCATAACAGGTTTGGCCAAAACAGGCCTGGGATGTGAGAGATAAACCCACCATATGAATCAGCAATGGATACTACAAGATGATGCTCCTATTTCTTTCCTTCAAACTACTGGCTAAACTGTATGACTGTCGTACATACTTTCAGCATAGCGCATCGTACAGGCAACAAACAGGAGCCCTCGGGTTCCCTTCGCTATGTATATTTTGTACCTTGAACAGGCCCGCTGCACAGCGAGTCTGTATGAGGTACGTATCCACAAATGGGTTCCAGCACTGGAATCACCACTCAATGCCTCAGTGTTCCAAGGCGGCGTCTTCTCAAATGGAGACGAATAGCAATTGTTCATTTCATTTCACCATGGGCTTTTGCGTTTCTACTCGCAGATAATAAAGCAGCTGGGAAGTGATTTCGTCACCGATACCCACGCGACCATACTATAACTCACCCATTTTTGAAGACGTGTGTCTTTGTCAAGCCCTGCTCAGGGCAGCCGTTTCCTGGTCCTGCACGATTAAGAAAACAATTTTACGTTTATAGCCAATTACACCTTTTGATATTGCGTATTGGCTGCAGGGTTCATCATGGGTTGCATTAATTGCTGCACGTTCCCAAGAAAATTGAGAAGTGTCGAACATTGTCAAGGATAACCTATCGCCACCCTTTGAAGGCAGAAAACTTCAACACAGCTCCAGCGAGCAGCGCCCGTGGTCACTGGCATTCATGCATTACCACATGTTCAATGCTACAACTGGGACATGCAACGCTGGATATCGTTTAGTAAATGTTCATATTAATGCAAGCAATACATGCTGCAATGCGAAGCCATGCAAATCCACGAATTGTAATTGACTTGCATCATGCATGCATTTTCAATCACGTACACTGTCGTGTAAAGGTGCAGAGGAAAGCTTCGGTCGCAGTGAGGATTGATTGTATGAAGTGAACGAAAGGCACCTGTAGTCCAAACTTCTGCATAAGGCAGGGCAACCAATTCTCGGACGCGACGGGTGCAAATTTTATCAAGCGCTCACTACAAAAGTGCATTTATGGTGGACACAAAAAGAAACATAACAAAAAACTGATGCTTATATGATTGTTGGATGAACTCGAGATTCTAAAAGAACAAAGAGCGTATCAATCGTTCACCTTATTGGTTCCAGCATAAGTGGGCACCTTGTGCACCTTCCAAGGGATGTACTGCCCTTACTCGCATGCTGCATGTTTGATGCAAACTTATTGAACGTCATGGCAATCTCCTCTAATGGCATGATGGGATTCTGCACCATGTGTACCAACACGCAACATCGCAGGGTGTTGTGTGCTGCATAATATCATCACCGCACTACGATAATGGCATCTCTGCCAGAAGGGGTGCTACAAGCAAAAAAAGTGCAAGATTTCCACAAGTTACGAGTGGTCACATGATGCACACGTTGCCTGCTCACCGCATATTCTATTCACAACTGGCATCGAGTTTGGCAGCATATCATCTTGCTGCGTCCCAAAATTGTCCCTTGTGGCCAGAAAGCCAAACGGATGAAAAGAGTCAACTTTTGGCTGCCGCTGGAACGAATTCACATCTACGTGCAGCCGCGTCACCCTGGTCTTGGTTGGCGCTGCGTCTGATTGGAAAATCTCGCTGCCATGTGCTGCGTTCACAGCTCCCATGCACCCAACCAGCTCACGGTTGAATGCCAGATGTCGGGCGGTGTGCAAATTGTCCCTGCCATTGCAGTACAAACACGTCGTCATCATCGGTTATGCCCATATGGGTATCGTCAGCACCACCGCTATCGCCAACACAGTAATTGCTGCACATCTCGATTAAGCCAACAGAAGGTATTTAGATCTCAGACAAAATTGGAACAGACTGTGACCCTTGAGTGTGTGTACTCCCTCAGACAATACGATATCACAATGCATAGCAACAGTTTTGGCCCTAGTAAATCTGATAGACAAGCCTGCCAGGAGCCTCCACATACACACGCCATATTGGCAATAGTGTGATGTTTGACATGTCCATGAACTTGCAATGCTCACAGCAGTGGCACCTTGCCAGTAGCTGCACAAGCGTCCAAAATAGAATGCCTTTCTAAAGCTATTTTGAACTCAGGATTTCAGACATCCGGTGGTCAAGTGCGTATGTGCCAAAGGGATCGACAAGCAGCGGGTTTTGTTTGTCAACGTAAGGAAGGAAAGAAAGATGGCGGTGGTTGTGCCGCCCTGCAGAAAGGAATATTTTGTGCTCGCCATTTGCAGGCCTATGGAACGTGAGACTGCTCTTAAAGTTTGCTCGTAAGGTGACGTTTGACAACGGTTTAGTAGCCTCATCGTGGGCTATCGTGGCAACATCAGTGCCGCTCGTAAAATGGAATAGCCGTTTTCTTTCAATCTGTATCAACCAAAAGTACTTGTGATGCTTCTGACGCACTCGACCACTAACCAGGCAGGTGGGAGCAACAAAGTTGCGCTCGTCTGCACGGCAGATCGCGCAAATCAAAGCAACTGGCAGGTAATGGGGGGGGGGCGAAGATGGTGCGACTAACGATGCAGAATGGAAAAAAAGCTCACCAGAAGTCTCTTTTCAGGCCATTATCGCATCAAAAGGTTCCCTTTGCGCTATCTTAGAATCAACGATCACCAGCAGCCAGTGAAAGGCCACAATGATTCAATGGAAGGCGATCTCACTTGAATTGAAGTACGTGCTGATCAGGCTCAAGCGGCCAGTCGTTCATCCCCTTGATGATCTCTGTGGGATTGCACATGGGATGCCCTTCACGGACATTCTGCAGAATGCACATCGCCAAGTGCTTCAATTCCCTATCAATCAGTTCACTAGCACAGAACGTCTCCCAAATCTCTGGAAAGAAATGCAGAACATTTTCTCCGTTTCAACATCTCGGTGCAGTAGCGACGCAATACTTAAATGCAAGTTCCATCTGAACTGTGCAGAAATCGATGCACGCACTATTTGTGCGTTGCCTTCGAAGGAGTGCCAAACGCAACAACAACGCCCATGCAACTATTGACAGGTGTTGGTGTGGGCACCAACGTTGCGTCAGCGTCGATTCATGGGCCGTGCTACAGCATTGCTGAGTTTGCATCAATGGCAATGCACAGGCAATGTTGCATGAATTTAGAACTAAATTCTCGCATGTTCAACTCAAGTGTGGCTCAAATGGAGGGAAGCGGATTTCTATGCCAGTACTGCACACTCCGTTCTATTAGCAGTGAACGGACACCTTCAGCCAGGCGCAAAATGATGCACCAATCCTCGGCGCCTGAAGCTCGACATCTCGATGGTGCCACGGTCTCATTTCATTTCGTGAAGTCTCCCGGGTCAGGTAATTTCAGAGTGGCGGTGACGCATGCATACACGTGCACACACTGCTGTCGCTCTTCAGTAGCCGAGCATGCCCGCCGATGCGCCAATTAAAAAAGTATTTCACAAAGTTTAACACAAGTGTTGCGCAACTACTCCTGACAGTCCATTTATTGAAGCCAATGCTCCCTTTGTCGTATGCCACTTTAAGTCGCCATGGACCCGTCACGCGCATCCCCGAAACCAGATACCAATATTGTCTCCAGGAAATGCGCCGATGGGTTTCGACTGCTCGATGCGCGGTCTAATGGCACTCACGTGACCATTTGCACTGACGTGTGCATTAGGTTACGGGTTATCTCACACTCATGTGGGTCAATTTGAGTGTCGTGGCTGCCCAACGGACGCGATGACCAGGTTGCTTTCGACAGGACTGATTGTGCTTTTCAGTTCGTGGGACTCCTGACGCAGGGCTGTCAACCGGGGGGTGGGACGTGGGGCACCGCCTGCGGGGTCGACTCTCAGCGCACGTCGACATAACGAGCAAGACGGGGACGGGGGCCAGGCGCCCCGGCGGACGTGATTATAAATGGGCCACGCGCGCCACGCCGCACTCCTTGCTGCTATGCACTGACTTCGCGCGGCGTTGGCGCCGGCAGCGCACGTCCATCGGAGCCAACACGCGGGAAAAAAGATGTCCAACTGCGACGATGCTCGTGACGTTGAACGGAGGGGAGGGGTGGAGCATGTAGATCAGCTGCTGAGCCGAGCGGCGGATGGAGAATACACCCGAGACACCACTGGGGCAGGTCTCCGAGCAAGCCTGCAGCGAGCTGAACACGACGACGGCGGCGCAAAGCAAACCTTATTCGCTGATCTGGCCCCATCTCGCTCCGGAAACAGGGCCTGATCAAGAACCCAACCCGCGCACAAAGCTCCCAGAACAACGCGAAATCCACAAGAACAACGAGAAGTCCCCGCCCTTTGGGCCAACCGCGGCGCGATCACCGTTTCACGGATGCGGGCCGCCTGCTGGCGAGCGGCCGCGCTCTGATGACCCACCGCGGAAGACAGCCATTCGTCCCGTGGCCAAGCCGCCATGTTGTGCAAGGGCCGCCTGAATCCGCCGGAAGGCTGGCCCAAGTCGAGGCCCGCGCCGCCGACTGGCGTGCCGTCCAGCGCCGACGCCGGCCAGCTCCCGCTCCACCGCGCCGCCCGCCCGACTTGCGCCGCGCCCTGGCACTGCGATCCGAAAACTTCCAATCGTTTATCCACCGGGGCGCGCCCCCAGCGACCGCTCATGTTGCGCACTTTTACTGCGCGTCGAGTCCCAAGGCGCCGCGGCAACCCCGGGGCTGGCCGGGTTCCAACGGACGCTGCTTTTGCCCCAGCCTCCCTGCCCTTTCTTCAATGGGGATTCTCAACGCAACGGGGCGCGGCACGCAGAGGTGGCCGATGAGCGGGGGGGTGGGACGCGCCCCGCAGAGCCGCGTGTGTGTGGACGTGGGCACCCTGCCAATGAGCCCCAGCAGTTCGGCGCCACACGAGGTTTAGTGGGCGGCCTTGACAGGTGTGGCGCCCTTCCCCGGGGCCGCACGTGGCCCATCACGCCAACGGCATCCAATTAAGGTTACAGCGGTCGTGCAAGCCGTGGGCGGACGACTACAACTGCGGGTCTCACGGGCTCGGCGGGGAGGGCAGTATGAGGTTACCGACGAGTTTTGTGCGGGGACGGCGTGTGGGGCACAGGCCAGCAGGGCGTGGTCCTGACTGATAGGAGGTACAGCCGCACCCAAGGGCGTGGTCTGGCCCAACGGATATTCCCTTCCGGACTGCGAGTATCAACGTGCGAGGCGGGCACCCACATTAGGAGGTGGGAAAGGAGCTGGCATCGAGGCCGAGGGATAGAAGCCGGAAATGCAGCAGGAAAGGAGCGCTTATTTGTACCCAACATCCTGGGCATGCAACGTGAGAATGATCGCTATTAACCAATATGTTGCATGGACATGTGTGCACATGTATTATGCATATCAAGAATGACTGGGGGGTCTTTGATTTGTTGAGTCACACATATTCTAAATCCTCTGTTTCAAAATCGACGTCTGTTAAAATTGGTCCGTAGAGCGAGGGCTCAAATAGTGCTCAACCCAAAGTGCTCATAGGATGCGTGGATGTTGCACACAGCCAACACTGGCCCAATGGCGCTCACACACGGCCTTGTAAAGTAGCTGCCAAAACCCGCTACCTCATCATTGTGTTTTGGTGATGATAAAAATTCTATTTTCTATAGCATATACACCAAACTGATTTTCACATGAAAGAACATCTATGGCATGTGTTGTACTTGGCAATGCATTGAATAGCCATGAGAGTGAATTAATTGCTTGATGGATGTCTGTGATGAAGTGGAACCCAAGGTTAAAAATTGGGAAGCCGGTGGTTGTGAGCCAGAAAAAATCTGGTAGCACTTTGTCCTGCTATTAGCAAGGACTGTTGTGTTCGAACTTGGAAGTGGACAAGCGAATATGTAAACCTAAATTTCACATAGAAGCCACCTTTCAAGGCCATGTGAGTGCTATTGGTTGATATCAAGTGTGTGTGATATCTGCACTTCTTGTGAGCACTGTGGGTGGCGGTTTGAGTCATCACTCAATTGATTAACCTTAACAACATCATATTTGTGCTGATACTAATTTCACATAAAAGCAGTCTTGTCATCCATCTCATCCATCTCCGAAACTTGTGTAAAGTTGCAACTATGAATTAAGAGAAGTTTGTCCAAATATCAAGTCCATGTTCCAAAAGACTAGTGTTTTGGCAATATATTGAGTTAGCGCAATCCATTCAAAGAAAAGGACAAGTTTGCTAGCTTGACTTTAGATACCACAAAATGCGATTGATACGAAAAGTCTATGGGTGTGGGGTTCCTGCCCTCTTTGAGCCGCGGACCCACCTTGCCGGGCACCTAGATCCTTACAGGGCACCTAGGCGGGACCACCCCTCCTACTCCCATATCCATATAAGTATAATGGTTACCGTGGGACAAGGAATACAATACGATCTTGGGCAGGGCGTCCCCCACACCAAGGACCATTAGTAGGGCGTCCCCCACATCAGGCCGGTGCGCATAACATTCGTCCCCCTCAGGGAGTGGGGCGTCCTCGTCCCAATATGTGGATATGGGAGCAGAAACTTTATGTGTATGTGAATAGAACTGGCTGTGCGATTTGCCACATGCCCAGTTAGTATACACTACACAGTTAGTGGTGAAGAGAAAGAGTGGTTGTTTTTACATGACCTCCCGGTCTTCACAACCCTCATTAAAACTCTTCCTCAACCAAATGGCTGGAATGTTCGACCTCCCGGCCTATGATCTACGACCCCTAGAGTGGGAACCACCAAACGCCCATGCAGGGGTGCGCCGGCCCGGTGCGGGACCTCGTCCTCGCCCGTGGCCACGCACACGCACAGCTCCACGAGGTGCCGGCACGAGCGGGTCGTCAAGATCCAATCTTTCTCCGTTCAAGATCGCAATGGACATAGCGTTCATGTGTCCAAATTGCGTCTTGGCACGGGGGGCGGTGTACCCAGTGTTCTTCTGGGCCCATCTCAGGAGAACCTGTCAAAGCATAGTCACACATGAGCATGTCTCAGTATGTACATCTTGTACTTTATGCAGTTTGCATTCGCATCACAGGTGTTCTGCCATTTTCAAATGCTTGAACCAATTCCTGTGCATTTGCAACTGACTTTGCTGATTCCCAGCTGTTATGCTCATGTCCATATCCCAGCCATTTGACAAGGTACTCAACATAGTTTTTGCGTCTCCCACGCTTTTTAATCCTTTTATCAAGGATACGTTCAACTTCATACTCCAGTTCACCTTCGATCTCGATAGGTACTGGGGGTGGCTGTACTCTGCCACTTGCCTTATAAGGCTTGATTTTCGATACATGAAATACTGGATGTATCCTATGCATGCTTTCCGGGAGTTCTAGTCGATATGCGACAGAACCTATCCGGTCGAGGATGGTGAAGGGCCCAATCCACCTCGGTAATAATTTTCGAGTTCTAGGGTGCTTGAGGGTGATATGTTGTGTCGAAAGGAGGACGTCATCTCCTTTATTAAACGACACATCCCTCCGATGGCGGTCAGCATGCTTCGACTGCCTATCTTGTGCTTTTTCCAAGCACGCCCTGGCCTCTCTCAGCGCTGATTGGACACGGTGATCAAATCGTGTCACTGCTGGTAATCCCTCCACGAGGGGTATACCGGACTGCCTCAAATAAGGCTGCTGTGCCCTTTCAATGGCCACTGCCAAGCCGCGGGCATTCGGATTGTCATAGCCCTTTAAAGGCTTCCGAATTTGCACACCAAGAGCTAAGGGACTCTTTGGGTGCCTCCCGTAATTCAGATAGAACGGGGTCTCTTGGGTGGAACTGTTTTTCGAGTTGTTCATTACAAACTCGGCCATGGCTAACAGTTCATCCTACGCGTCATGGTCAGAACGCGTATAGCTGCGTAAGTAATCCTCCAGAATCCGATTCATGACTTCGGTCTGGCCATCCGTCTGTGGATGGTACGCAGTGCTCATGTTGCTGAATCTTCCACCTCTCGGCCAGGTACCGGTAAAACCTGGAAGTGAACCGAACGTCTCTGTCGGACACTATCTGAGAGGGGAGGCCGTGGTGCCTTATCACATTCTGCACCAACAGGTCAGCTACTCCTTCCGCGGAGAGCTCGGTGGTCGTGGCTGCTAGGCGGACCATTTTGGTCAGTCTATCGACAAATACGACGATAGCATCATGACCTCCCTTAGTTTTTGGCAGTTGAGTGATGAAGTCCATGGACAATTCGGTCCATGGCTCCCCAGGAATGCCCAATGGCTGTAATAAGCCTGGGGTCTTTTGACAAGGATATCTAACCTGTTGACAAACCAGGCAAGTATCGACGTATAACTGTACTTCTCGTTGCATTCCTGGCCACCAGTAATGCCGCTGGACCAAGTCCAGGGTCTTGGCTTGACCAAAGTGTCCCGCACTTGGATGGTCGTGAGCCAACTGGCAGATCTCAGTCCGCAGACTGGCAAGTATATATTAGAGGTGGCCACACTCGGGTACCGTCTGCTCCGTTGCGTCCGGTTCATAAAAGTGAGTGTGATATTCGTCCGGTAACATCCGGTCCGTTGTTTGCCGTACTGCCGTCCGCAGAATCCGGCTCTCACTTTTTCTTCACCGTTATTTGCCGTTAAATTAACGGAGGGCGTGCGCGGCGTCCGGTCCGCAACAAAACATCCATGGATTCATAATTTTGGTCCGTTCTGTCCCGTAGGTACTTGCTTTCCAGCCACGGCAAGGTCAAGGCGAAGTTGCCAGGGGTTTCCATTTTGCAGCAACTCGAATTGTGTTGGTTGCACGCTTCATAAATATGTGTGGGCGTTTTCCAGGTCATGTATTCTGCGTTTTGTAATACATGGAGTGTTTTGGAGAACTGAACAACACACAAGCCGTGTGTAAAGTTCCAGTGTATGGCCTGCCATCCTGCACCACTTGCTGCGGCTGGTACTGCTGCGTAATACGCAGTGCGCACCACACTCCCATTGCAAGTCTTCCCGGCCATTGCAGCAAGGGTTCGGCATACTTGTAATACCAAACACGGACACACAAACACCCACATCACCTGAGGCAGGTGGCAAAGAGGGTTCACCTCTGAACACAGTTGAGCCACTCAACATACTTGGGAATGGGTGATACGTATCACATATAACGATGGGTTGCTGCAGCGGTACTCCACCGTTTCCACGCCAGGGCAGCGAGTGTCAAGCCCATCCACCAATCGCAGTACTTGTTGGGACGCAATTGTTGAATAAAATTTTCTTCTATCTATATGATACCCAAAGTTTATCCACCACTCCAACATAGTGTGTCCAAGGTGTGCACTTCAACACAGACCAACGGAATATTAGAAGTCATGATATCTTATCTTCCATCTCTGCCTATCGCACCCTCGCTGCGGCGGTACTCCACAGTTTCCACGCCGGGGCAACGAGGGGGGTCACCGGTGGCGATCCAAACCCAGGAATCCAAAGTCACTACTTCCCTCCCTTCCCTCCCTTCCCCCCCTTCCCCCCCTTCTTGCGTCGATGCGCAAGCTTCTGCTGCGCCCATCCACTCTCAGCCATTTGCCACCCTAGCAAGCTTAAATGATCCACGTTCTCGGGCTTGAGAACCATGCGCTTGGCCCGAACTATTAGCCCGGCCTTGGAAAAAGATCGTTCACTACTGGCGCTGGAGGCCTGCAA